TGAGTGGGAGCACACAGTCCCCAGCAGTCAGAGTGGAGGCACAATGCAAACAAGCTCTACCCTTTCCCGTCCACTTCCAGGGAAAGCTGGGCCAGACAGCTGCTTTGAGGTCTGCAGACATGGAGGGGTGGCGGGGGTGGAGGACGACGGACGACTAAGAGCCTCAGAGCTCTTGGTTTCTTACTCTGTCGAGCACACTAAGTCCACACTCCACACCCTGCGTCACACACCGGGTCTTCATTCCACACCAAGTCCCTTTTTCCATTTCACTAACTTTCTCTTTGGCTGTTTGACATTTTAACTTGAACTCGCACACCCGGCTCTTCCATTACATCTAGCAATTTCTTTTGACATGCTGTTCATCTTTGAATGTCTTCTTTCATGCCTTTAAGAATCCCAGGCACGCCTTTAATCCTAGCACTCAGGAGGCAGAGTCAGGCAGATCTCTGTGAGTTCGGGACAGCCTGGTCTACAGAGTGAGTTCCAGGACAGCCAGGACTACAGAGAAACCCTGTCTCAACAAACAAAAGAAAAAAGATCCAGGATTCAGGATGTGACAGTCCCAGGCGTATCCAGTGCTGTTAACTGTGGGACCCTGTCCTCCCTGATCCTTGAGGCCAAAATACTGGATGCAAATAATGTTTACGCTAACCAGCTAAGCTTCCTGCTAGTTCTGTCCTTGGTTCTGCTACAGCCTGGTACATTAGCCTGAGGGATCTATTTTACTTTAAAATGGTAATTTCTCAACCTGCCTCAAAGAAGCTCAGGCGCCAAGGCCCATCTAACCTGTCTGACATTGCCTTGAACCCTCAACCACCTGCCTGGGGAAAAACTCCCACAGAGGCCAGTTTCCCCAGCCCCCTCTGGGTGGGAGGAGTTTTCCTTTACTGGGGCCAAAGGTATTTTAACCCTGGATTTAGTTGAATAAAGGGGCATTCTCTTCTTGAGGATGACTGGAACTCTGTATCTGTGTGTGTGCGTCTTATGCTTTAACCCCTAGGACAATATGGAACTCGTGGGATGTGGGTGGCGTGGAAGGACGACTCCGACAGTTAACTGCAGCTGTGACTTCTAGGTTGGATCAAGAAGCAAATGTGCAGTCAGCTGCCACTCTGTGTCAGGGTCGCAGGCACAGCGTCACCTCAGAGCCTAACACAGGTTCTGAAGGCACAAGGTTCAGAGGGTCCTTAGGGGCTTGGCGGCAACTGTCTCCAGGCCTTTGCATCTGCGGCTTTCTTTTGTGTGTGCTCATGTGGAAGTAAGGATACTCTCAGGCGTTACCCCTTTTGCCCTCAGGCAGTTCACTCCCCACCCCCAGACAGGACCTCTCACTTGGGCTTTAGCAGGCCTAAGCTGGCTGGCTAGTGAACCCCAGGGATTCCTGTCTCTGCCTCCTCAGCCCTAGTGTGACAAGCACGACCTCACACCCATATTTCCCCTCCCAGTTCTGGGGATTTTTATCAGCCAAGCTGTCTCTCCCGATGGTTCTTGTTTGCTTTCTTTCTAAGAAACTGTATTAATTTTTATTTTCATGTATGAGTGTTTTTCCTTCATGTCTGTCTGTGTACCATATGTGTACCTGGTGCCTGTGAAGTCAGGGCATCAGTTCCCCTGGGACTGGACTTATAGGCAGTTGTGAGCCATTATGTGGGTGCTGGGAATCGAACCTAGGTTCTCTGTAAGAGCAGCCAGTGATCTTAACCACTGAGCCGTCTCTCCAGCACCCACATATCTGAATTTCTTAAGACAGAGCCTTGATGTACAGTCCAGGCTGATCTCAAACTAGCTTTCCTCCTGTTTCTGCCAACAGCTCTTTCTCCGTAAGCACTGCTCTGCACATACTTTGTTAGGACTCTGTGCTCACCGTAGAACTGAGCACCTGCCATCCCGGTAGGAGCACAGAGATTGGTGTTGGTTTTCCAATTGGGATGGGGCCCGGATGAGAACTTACCCCCACACTGCGGAGGAAAGGCCAAGGGCACAGGGTCCTGGGCACAAAGCAGATTGCAGCTCCATGGGGTCACAGATATCCTGGACACACAGTCTGAGGATGGGGCAGGCAGTGTCCACCTGATATCAATGCCTGCCCATCACTGAGTCTGCTCATTACCATGCCAGCCCATCATCACTGGGCCTGCCCACTGCACAGGCTAGACCAGGCTTCTTTCGCTCTATGGTTTCTCTGCTGAGTGGCCTCTGACCGGGTGCGGTCTCACACTCACCACTCGGAAGCAGTTCCCTAGACTGGAGCAAGGTTCTTGGAAGAAGGCCCCGCAGGTGGTGCTGTGTCCTGAGCATGGCTGCTGCTTCCTCTCTACAGCCCCACAGTTCTCACCCACACCGCCTGTGTGCATCGGCCTCAGCAGGAGAAGCCTGATCCTTGAGGGGAGCGTGAAGGCTCCAGCTTCAGCCTGGACTGCGCACCCGTCCTCCACTGAGCCTAGGGGCAGGGTGTTCCCGCAGTTTACCTGCCAGGCCCAAGCGAGCTCCTCCAGGCTGGCAACTTCCATGCCATCCGGCAGCGTTAGCTCGTCACCTGCTTCATTATTGTTGGTACCCAGAAGGCCAGCAGATATACCTGTAGGGCAGGAGGAATCTACTGGGAAAGCTTCCCTCTCCACTCCCCAGGACTCCAGAGCTCCCAGAAGCAGGGGCTGCGGAGAGGATCTGAAGATGGTGACTATGCCTTGCAGTGCTCCCCCCACTGGCCCAGCCACAGGGCCAGTTAGCAAGTTTTCCCGGAACCTCTTGGGGGTCTAGCTGCATGATGGGGACCTCATGAGAGCTGGACTTCTCTCTGTGTGTACTGTCCCCAGGGAAGAAAGCCAAGATGGGTCAGAAACCCTGGGCCAGATGTTGGCCCTGGGAGCAGGAGTGAGTCATTCAGCCTCTGCTGGGTCATCTGTAACGGAACAGCAACCACCAGGACTGGAAGGAGACGGCTGTGTCATACTAGAAGGGAGGCCAGCAGTCACGGCCGCCCCAGCAGGGAAGTGGCCAGTCAGCAAAGACAACCTTCAGGATTATTTCTGCCTCTTGCCCATTGGCTTCTTACCCACCAGGGACACCAACAACAGTGCTACTGAGAAAGGGATACATTACCCTCAGCCCTGGAGTCTGGCCATGGGGTAGCCAAAAAAGGCCCTCGTGGGCAGCACCGAGCTCCGACCCACCGTGGTGCCACTGGCCCAGCATCAGGCTGCAGAGGCCTGGCACATCATAAGAGAGAGACACATCATCCTCGTGGCTCAGCTCAACCTTGGACCCAGTGTTCAGCATAGTAGGAGGCAGGTCTATATCCTGTCCTGAGGCCTGGCAGTGTTGTACAGCTTGTAAGCCTGTGGGCCACACTGGAAAGGCGGGGAATCATTCCCAGTACCACACCTTTAGGCTACGTAGACAAGAAGCTCCAGGGAGCCCCTCCCACTCCCAAGCACGCACCTTGGGATACAGAATGAGGATTGTGTGGTTCAGCTCCACTTGAAGGGCCATGAACCCCAAGTCTGTGAGGCTCAGCATCGGAGAGAACATTTGGTGAGTGAAGTCCTTGGCGAGCAGGAAGCTGCTGCAGCAGGGACCCAGGCCCCCTACCTGCCCATCAAAGTCACCAGGTTCCTGGCACCAGCAACCACAGCGTAATCTGAGAAGAGGCCAGGCAAGCTCAACACTGAGCAAACCTGCCCAGGAACAAGCGTGTTCCCAAGTCTGGGGTCTCTGCATTCAGGGGTGCTAACCACACCAGCCTGGTGCTGGGCTTCCTCTGTAGAAGGCCTTGGGCTCAGATGCTGTGCTCACACGAGCCAGCCATGCTCTCCTTTCTACTCCACGCAGGAAGAAACTGAGGCAGAAGAAGTTGATACAGCAGTGTGAGCCAGATGCAGGCCTCCTCAGGCCTCCCAAAGGCATGTTGAGGCCCTGGGCTACAGACACTGCCTCCCCAGCAGGCCTGCACTCAGCGAGCAGCCTTCCAACTCCAGCTGGAACCTGGCCTGCTCCTTTATGGCCCCCTGGGAGAAGGCTGGCCTCAGAAGGAGCCCTCGGCAGCTGTGTACGCCCCACTATATTCTGGACAAAACTCAAGGTCTGTAGCCCCAGATGACCTCACCAAGCCCAGAACCTTGTGGAACTGAGGGCTTGGCAGGCTTTCTTGAGGCTGCTTGTCACCAATCCCTTCCTAGGCCCTTTGCCCCATAGGCAGAGGGTTTCCCAGGGAGGAGGTGGACAGGTCAGGCAGGACCTAGGCTGGAAGGGCCTCCTCCGTAGATGCCGCCGGCACCCATAGAACTCAGCCAGCACGTTAGCCTCAGACAGCTGCCGTGTGGCCGCAGTTCCCGGAAGGGACACAGAGGAACTGGACCCCCTATGAAGCTGGAATGTCCCACTGAGCCTCACCTCCTTTCCCTGGCGGGTGGTGATGTCACAGCAGGCTGTCCCCCAGAGAGCGCCTGCCTCTGTCTGTGAAAGTGTCCTCGCAAGATGGACCAAGGCCCTGCAGCATAGGTGCAGCTGTTTGGTTTTTTTCCCCTGCTCCAGGGTGCAGTGGGGTGATGAGATGTGCACGGACACCAAGGAAGGGGAAGTCCACTCAGGGTGCTGTGTCACAGGGGTACAAGCTAGTGAGATGATGCCGAATGGGCCAGAACAGGGTTCAGCCAAAGGGAAGCTGGGGAAGGGCAAAAGATCTCTGGGATTTCTACAGGCACAGAAAAGACTCTAGAACTTTTCCAGACTGTGAAACAGAGCCCAGCAAACCTGGAGTTTGAAGAAGCAAGGAGGCAGCTAATGCTGGGCTACAGTAGGAAGGGGGATGGGCACTGGGCACGGCTACCACAGAGCTACAGGAACAAACCTCCACTGTCACAAGAGACCCCACTCAGTCCCATCTGCTGGAGCGTTCTTCCTACACAGACTCTGCCAGGTTTGCAGCTCTATCTCCATTCATTCTCCTAGGAAGCATGTCCCAAGTTTACAGGTGGGTAAACTGAGGCAGAGTAGGAGTCCAACCAAGTAGGTCCAAGCTTTCCATACCCAGGAGGCACCATTCTGCCACCTGCTGGAGTATGCGGGAACTGCAGACGTTCTTGGAGGCTCCTACCTGTCCGTTCTGTGCTGCCACTTGTCCAGGGCTGGTTAATTCCTGCTCACCCAACACCTACGGTGCCAGCACCCTGCCTCAGTCTTCCAGCACCGTGTGAGAATCATCCCTGTGGTTCAAGTCACGCCATTTCTAGTTACACAGCATTGGTTACACACGTACAGAAGCCACACAATCTTGTCACCATCTGTATAGGGACCTCCATCATCCTTCTAGCTGCTGAGGCCACATACTTTGGAATCCAGGCTAACCTTAAACACAGCTGTATTCTGGCTGTCTCTCATCCCTTCCATGCCGCCGCTGTCCCGGCAACCACATACCCAGCCGCATTGTCAAAATAGGGCCCTACACCCTGCCCATCTTCATAATCCTCAACATGATCTGTTGTGCCCAAATCCCTGAAGTCCCCACAAAAACCAACAAGGAGACCTAGTCCCGTACGTAAAAGCAAAGAGCCTTTATTTCATGTAAGTTTGCAAACTCAGTCTCTCCGCATATCCAACGTATTGGAATAAATGGAAAGCTCAGTTAGAATTGAGTTTTTATAGTAATAAAGGTGGGGGTGAGGGGTTTCTGAGTTTCAGGACCCCTGATTGGCTGACATTTGTCTAGGGGTGTCCTGGTGAGTGTGTTCTGGCAGGTGGTCCTATCTACGGCTACAGTAGCTGTAGATACTACTAAATGCTAAAGCATTTCCTTTGGATGGTCTATTTTTGGGTGGTGCTCGGTAATCTCAGCTTGTGGTTCTTCCTGCAGCCAGGTATTGCTTCAGGGTAAACTACTGAGACTCTTATTAAATTTATCAATGGCCGAGTTCTACTCTGGCAGGTGATAATGGTTGGAAGTAAAGAACTTCCTTTGGGTGACCTGCCCATACTTAGCTTATCATGGCTGGTTCCCACAGATCCACCTTTCCTTGGGCTAAAACCCTTGTTTGGTGTGTGTGCCTATCTCCAAGCAGGGGCCAAGACCCTGGGCCACCAGGATCCTGTCCAAGGCCTGCTGGCTTCTTTACTGTTCTCCAGACAGGCAGCAAATGGTACACTTGCCTTTGCTTCATTTGTGTGCCTACCCAGAATTCTCTGCTCAGAGGTCACCTGGGCTGAAATGCTTGTCACACAAGCATAAGAACTGGAGGTCAAAACCCCATATGAATGTGGGGTGAGCATGATGGCACTTGTAATTCCTTTCTCAGAAGGTGAGGGAGATTGTAGTGAGGAGCTACGGGCAGGCCTGCTTTTTGTCCCACACGGCTCCTGCACGGCTAGCTTAGCCCCGGAAATAACAACACACAAATTGTATTCATTTAAACACTGCTTGGCCCATTATCTCTAGAGAGTTAATTACTGACTAACTCTCACATCTTGATTAACCCATTTCTAATAATCTGTGTAGCACCATGAGTTGGTGGCTTACTGGGAAAGATTCAGCATGTCTGACCTGGTGGCTGGCTCCATGGCGTCTGCCTCATTGCCCTCTTCCCAGCATTCTGTTCTGTTTACTCCGCCTTCCTAATTTTCTGTCCAATCAAAGGGCCAAGGCAGTCTCTTTATTAGCCAATGAAAATAACACATAGAAGGCCCACCTACATCAGGAGATGGTCCCCAAAGCAATCTGGCTAACAAGACTACTCATATCCGTGAGCTCTGGGTTTGATTGAGAGAGCCTGCCTCAATGAGTAAGGTGGAAAAACAATGAAGATTATTCTCTATCAGCATCAAGCCTCCATATACATGTGCACGCATCTTTGGGCCCACAGAAATGTATACCACACACACATGAAATAGGTATCCCCTTCTCGACCAAACTGCACCATCACACATGCCCCTCTCCAATCCACTTGCTGACCATGGCTTTCAGTAGCACATGCCACCTAACACAGAGGTCAGGGACCAGGACCCTGCCCCTCAGACCAAATCCAGGCAGCTGGCCAAGAATGGCTTTCCTAAAGCTAAGGCTTTTGCAAAACCAAGTAGAATATGAACAGAGCTTATGCAGAGCCTGAACCTCAGTTTCCCCTGTCAGAAGAGGAACACTGTACGGCAGTGTTGTTCTAAGAGTGAGATGGGCCAGTTTTCCATTGATGTGTCCCGCCATGTAGCAGAAACACAGAACCCACAAGTCCCCATGCCCCCTTCCCCGCTTACCTGACTCCATACATGCTCCATAAGGGTTTGCAGAGTCGCCTCAGGGCCCAGGAAACCTCAGCCCAGGACAGTGTATGGTGGATGGCCTGGGTGGGGGCAGGGACAACTATCAGAACCACCCTCAATGAGCCCAACCCCACCCCACCCTATCACACACACCCTCACCAGCTCCAGGGCACCCATCATGGCTTCCAGGACCATCTGGATGGGCCTTGGCCTCCAACTTTCTGGCAGCCGGAGCAGCCAAGCCTGTAGCCACTGCCTGGCTTCCTTAGCCCCCTCTCACCACACCTCATCCAGGGACTGCAGCATCACCCCCAAGTAGGCCTCCTTCAGTGTGGCCAGGGGCTCTGCAATAGGTAGTCACCCTGAGTGAGGCCCCAGAGCTCCTGGAAGCAGATGAGAACCTCTATAGTGTGAGCCGGGCAAGCCAGCCATGCCTAACATCCCAGGCCTAGAGGACATAGAGTCTGTGCCCTGGAGTAAGAGATGGGATAGAAATAAGGGAGGGCACACTAGGACTGCTGACCTGGTTGCCTGGAATTGGTGGGAAGAGCCTGCTACCTGCATTGTGCAAGTGTGCCTCCCAGCTGGAAAGCCCTCTGACAAGGCTGGTGGAAACCCTGTGTACTGACACGGTGCTTCCCTGGTAAATGCTTCCTGTGGGCATTACAGTTCAACCCAGGGGGAGGTGATGGCATCCAGTGTGACATGTTGAGGCTCTGGATGCTGCATATAGGGTTCCTAGACTTCAGTCCAGCCCCTTGCCCTGTAACCAACTCTGCTCTTCAGCCTTGTGCTGCAGTGAGGGTCACAGCCGTGAGGACACCTGTGTGCTCCTGGCCAGTCACCAACAGAGGGACTCTGGCATAGCCAGTTCTGAGCTAGGACAGAGACAAGTCCCTAGTCACCGACACAGTGACTCTGACATAGCCAGTTCTGAGCTAGGACAGAGACAAGTCCCCACTGCTTGCTTTAGTCTTGAACAAACGTCTGAGGGACTGAAGGAGGACCAAGAGCATTCCTTAATTGTGGGGAGGCCAGGTTCTCAACTTGCTTGGGGGCAGGGTCCTCAGGTCACAACTGTGTGCTAACCAGGACAGAAGCCTTGCTGGAGCCCATAGACAGATACCCAGTGGTGGCCCTGGATTCTCACAGCAAGGCTGGGTGCATGAGAGAAGCCAGGCAGAGGGCAGATGAAGCCTGGGCAGCAGACAATACTTTGGAGCCTACAAAGGTGGAGAAAGTATGTCAGAAAGGGCACAGAGGCTGCAGGAGCCTAAGAAATAAGGTGTGGGGGTCGAAAGAAATTGACTTTCGTTCTGACTGAGGCAGTGGTGTGAGGACAGGTGTGCAGGCCTAGGGACCCTGGGCCAGCGTAGTGCAGGGTGTGCCTTCTCCTATGCTCACGGTCCAGCCCATGCCACAGCTGCTCCAGGTAGAGAGGCAGGTGACCTGGCCCCGGCCCCACAATGTGGTCACCACCTAGCCACCTGCCTGAACAGCGCCTAGCCCCACCTGGGCCAACTGTACCAGGCACTCTGCTGCTTTATCCAGGGTGCCCACCAGCTTGTGGTCTTCTCTTTCAGCTGGGCTCGCCCCCAGGAGCTGTCATCCTGGACTACGGGGCAGAGGGACAGGCGAGAACTGGATAAAAGGCCTCCTGGGGGCTGGAGGGCGTGCCTGCTGCCCTAAACTTGTGCGCGCTGATTTTCTAGGCACTGCTGCGCTCTCCAAGAGCCCTCCGTCCCAGGCCTGTTTACTTCCGTGTGGCTCAGCAGGGGCCCTGAAAGCCTTGTACAACTAGGAAGAGGCCCTGGTTAGCTGCCTGCAGGGCCAGGCGTCCCAGTGGCTGGATGTGCTGCTCACTGCTCTGAAGCAGGGCCTCCCTCTCCACGGTTCTCTTGTAGGGGCATGCCTGTAGCCTCATACTCTTCTCTGCCCTCTGGAGCCCCGAGGGGACTGAGGTTGCATCTGTGCCTTCTCTCTCTCTGCCTCCCCAGTTCCCTACACAAAACCTCAGGCTATTAGGGTTTAAGAGCCTTGAGCTGTACCGCTTAGGTGATCCCTTCTCCTGCTCTAGTTAAAGCCCTCTCTTCACACCCACCTCTAGGTAGCTGAGCTAGATCCACCCCCATCCCCTGCCACCCCACAGCCTCACCAGACTCAGCAAAGTCACCACAGATGTGGACAGGAAGTCCACCCCAAATCTGGGGTTCTCTTGTGTTTCTAAGTTCTCAACAGGCCAGGAATAGGGATCCCCTGTCCTCCCTTGGACAAAGGTGAGGCCTGGCTTAGTAGCTGGCCTGAGTACCTGTCACCTTCCACGTGGGCGGCAGAATTCTGAAGACAGCTCAGGGCCTGCGACACCAACAGCCTTAGTTTATCATCCTTATCCATGCTGCCCTCCAGCTGGACCAGGCTTTGGGAAGCTGAGGTGGAGATGCAGCCCAGCAGGAGGAGCTGCTGAGCCCTGGGGCTTTGGAGCTATGAACCAGACTTGAGTGGGCCTGGCTACTGGGGCTGCTCTGGTTTTTGGCCTCTGCCTGTCCCAGGCTCAGGGGAGGGCTAAAGCTGATCTAATCAGTAGAGAAGGGATAGAAAACATGCCCACACTGTTCTTCCAGGAGCACTGGATTCCCTGCCCGTCACACGGCTCAGAATCCCATTACATACAGTAGGACATATATAGCAAAGCCCGCTTGTAGGTGTCTCCCCACCAACACAGTCAAGGAGGCTTAGAAGCCCTTGCACACTCTTCAGACAGATGCAACTGATCTGGGGATTCCAGTCCCAGTGTCCACAGGCATAAAGCCTGGGTCATTGTGTTTACCCAAATCCTGGTAGGCACCCATCCTTGAGGGAGGAGGTACAAGACAAATGTTTTCGAATGAGCTAGAACAATCCCAAAGGCTTTAAGGTCCCAGGGGAGGGACCATTGAAAATGACCAAGTGACTGGCAGAGCAATTGGGCGAAGGGAGACACTCCTGCTCCGGCCACTGCCCTATATTCTGTAGGCTAGATCCTGCCTACAAAGCTATGCAACCTTAAATAAGGGTATCACCTTCTCTGAGCCTCAGCTTCTAGCTGTAATATGGCATAGATCAGTGGTTGCCAAAGCTCAGAAATCAGAGGTACCATTGAGTCTTAGGGCTGAGCTGCATTCATCAGTCTCTGATGTCTTTGCAGTGGTGGTCAAGGAAAAATGAGGCCACCGTGGGATAAAGTAGACCGTGAATGCTAAATGCTGCATTGCTGAAGGTGGTACAGACCAGGGGCTGGGCAAGGACTGCAGGGCAGCACTGTAAGCCAAGGGCGACCAGGAGCCACTCAGAGCTAGCGTGGCTGGGGACCTGACAAGCCAGCCTTCAGCTTGTCTTCAGCGCCATTAGTATGGCTGGAGAACAAGGACCCGCCAGCCATGGTTGGCTTGGGTCTGACCTCACAGACTCCAGAGTGGGGTTAGGAGAGTGGAGGGTGGGGACCACATTTGGGTGCCTCCCAAGTGCTTGCCCTCAGGTTTTCTTTCTGTCTCTAATTCCAGGAGTGGAATCAAGCCTCAGTTTTAGCTGGGCAGAGCTGGCCTGGTTGTAAATGAGGAAGTGGCAGGCCCAGAGACTCAGTCTGACATGAATGGCCATGGTCTCTGGGCATGACCCCACCTAGAACTGTCACCTGTGATGGCTATTTTTGGTTATCAACTTGACTACATCTAGAGCTGACTAAAACCCAGGTGACTGGGCACGCCTGTGAGGATCTCTCTCTCTCTCTCTCTCTCTCTCTCTCTCTCTCTCTTTCTCTCCCCCCCCTTTTTTAATTTTTAAAGACAGGGTTATTTTTTCTGTGTAGCCATGACTGTTCTAGAAGTCCTCTGTGGACCAGGCTGGCCTCAAACTCGCAGAGATTCACCTGCCTCTGCCTCCCTAGTGCTAATTAAAGGTGTGCGCCACCACTGCCCAGCTCAGGAATTTCTTTCTTAATTTGATCATTTAAAGATCTACTTTGAATCTTTTGAGGGGGTGTGATCCACCTCTAATCTGGCCTCCAATCTAACCTTCTGCTGGCAAGTCCATTCCTTCACTGGCATTAGAGCCTACTTCTCCGGGATTATGGTGTCTACTGAAGACGCTGAGACATCCAGCCTCGCACTTACTGGGTTCTTGGACTTTCCACTGGTAGACAGCCATTGCCAGGCTTGCTGGACCACAGCCTGTGAGCCACTCTAATAAGTTCCCTTTCTATAGATTCATTCCATCAGATCTGTTCCTCTAGAGAATCCTGACTGATCCTTGTCCCATTTGAGAAGGATAGAATCTGTCCTGGACTAGCAGCGTACAGACATGAAGTTCCACTGACAGCCATTAGATGGCAGAGCAGCCCAGGCAGAAGGGCTGCTGGCATGGAATTAGACATCTACCTCCAGCCACACAGAGAAGTCAGGTGCATTAGGTCGGCTGTGGTTGTCAGGGTGTGGCTAAAGTGCAGCCCCTGGTCAGGGTCTGGAGGAAGACCCAGCTGGTTTTGAGAACGCAACAGTGGTGCACCCTGGTCCAGACTGTGCTCCCTGGAGAATGAGAGGACCTGAAGGAAGACTACAGAGGTTCAGAGGTCAGGAGACACAGGGAGAATGGCTTTGTCCCCACTGGATTTTGGCCCAAGCTGTGATCCCTCCCAACTGGATTGCTGTAACAGGCTGTGCGGGTGGCAGGCCCTACTGCCCACCCACAACCTTCTTCAGCAAAGCCTCTTAAACACTGAAGCATGCCTGCACAGGTGCCCGTGTGTGGGTGAAGCATGCCTGCACAGGTGCCCTGTGTGACTGAAGCATGCCTGCACAGGTGCCCTGTGTGGGTGAAATATGCCTGCACAGGTGCCCGTGTGTGGGTGAAGCATGCCTGCACAGGTGCCTTTGTATAATTCCTGCACAGTGCCTGTGTGTGACCTCTGCAGGGCCTGTAAGTGTCCTGAGGCCACTTGTAAGCCTTGCTCCCATCCCACCCTCCTCCAGGCGCTGAGCATACGACTTTGGTCTGTCCTGTTTTCCTCCACTCTGGACAGCTCTCCAGCAGAGTGGCACCTGCCTCTCACTCAGCAGATGGATAGATGGCTGGGTGGTAGGTGGATAGCAGGAGGGCGGGTGGCAAGGCAGATAGGTATGTGCAGAGGGGGTGAGGGACAGGAAAGAGTAAGAGATAGATGGATAGGAGGACCTGAGAATGGTGGGGGCTCCAGCGACAAGCCCAGGTAGTGGCAGGATTGGGTCCCAGTGTGTGCCTCAGCGGTGGTGGTGGTTGACAGCTCTCGTTTGCACATCCTCCTGAGTATCACAATCTCCCCTCTTCCTTCTCTCACATAAACTAGCGATAGATGCCCCGCAGCTGATGTGTGCAGAGCCACTGTGACAGCTCTGCGGGTTTGGTCATACCCTGCCTGTCCCAGGTACTCCCCCTCCTCAGGGCCCCTGGTTCCCTGTACCCCCCTCCCCCGCTCAGCAGACTCACCCTGGCAAGCTGCAAAGCCCCCGATGGAGGGTGAAGCATAACTTGTGTGTGTAGTCAATCTCCGCTGTGCCCTGGAAGCTTGCTGGGCCTTGCTGGCAAGCAAGGGGCCTGTGAGGATGTCCTCTAGTGTGGCCTGTGTGTGGACCTTGTCCCATTGGAGCAGCTGATGCTTCTGGAATGGGTCATGACATGAGGGTTATCACATAGAAGAGACTATCCACAGGGGTGACTGTCACCCACACAGAGAGCAGGTGCCAGTGACCCCAGCCTTAGGACCTCAGAGTGTCAGAAACCTGGGGTGGGGTCTGAGGTGGATAGACTCTCAGAGCCAGGGTCCCCATTTCAGTGCAGTCTGTCTTTTGTCCCACACGCTGAAGAGCTGCACTCAGCCCCCCTGGAAGCCCTGGTTGATGGGGAGATGGGAGGTGAGCGCTCTTCTGCCCCTCGCCCCATGTATAACAGACCCTAGCACTAGCAGCGCCTACACACTGCCTAACGCCAATCGGAGTGATCTACTTCCTGGTAGGACACGACTATTACACCCATTTCAGCTGAAGCAAGGCTCAGCCAGAGGAATGAGTGGCCTAGATCCCATGGCGTAGTCAGCACCTGAACCCAGAACTACACTGCCTTAAGCTTGGCACTTCCCATAGCTGGCAAAGCTCCCTGCCAATGCCTGACTCTGAGTCTGGCTTCCTGGGCCTCGTGTCACATTCTGCTGTGGCTGGTGTTGGCCCCAGGAGAGAGACCCAGGTCTGAGTCAAGGCCACACAGGCCTGCAGCGGGCCCAGATCCCAGGTTCTCTTGAGCTAACAAGAACCAAAAGATGGTCCAAGGCCTACTGGGAGGCCCAGAACAAGGATCCCAGGCAAAAGGTAGGCAAAAAGTAGGCCAGCACATACCTGACCTAGGGAAGCAGTCAGACACCCATCCCAGGTCACACTGTGTGTAGAGGACCTGTTAGCCCAGGTAACCTCCAGAGTCACAGATGAGCCTCTGTCCCTTGATTGCTGAATCTGTATGAGGAGGCTCCAACAGAGGGAACAGAGGTGAGGTCATAACCGCCTCTGACAAGGAGATGTTGACTGGATTGTGGCTGCCTTCATCTTCCCTGGAGAAGAAGTGGGGGTTACAGGAACTTTGGTCCTCCTAGTAGGAGTCCAGAACCCCCTACTAGGAAACTGAGAAAGGCCTCCAGCCCCTTCTGGGTCCTGAGCGTCTTGCCCTACCGTCAACCAGCCTCTTCCATCAGAAGTTCCTCGGCTTAGCTCCGGCCTCAGGGCCTTTGCACTTACTGTTCCTTAGCTCATATTCCTGGGTCCTTGGCTGACAGCCTCCTCTCCTATCAAGGTCTCCCCAGATCTTTCAAATCCAGCTCCCTGTGTCCTTGCTATCACAACTGCTTGCGTTGTCCCAGCCCTGGCCTCAGGGCTGGGACTCCACGTCCAAGCCATGGCCTTCAGAGGCTTCTACTTTCCCTCCTGATCTCTGAGCAACCACCAGGGAGCACACTCTGGCTGACTGTTGATGGCCTCAAACTAGGCTTCAGGTGACAGCCAGAGGGTACTGAGCTCTGTTGAGATCCCAGAGACCAACAGAGACCCCTCCCCTTAGCCTGCTGCTAACCTTGATGCATGGGGCTACCAGGGCCTCCCTGCTCACCCTCCTGGTAACTTTAAACCACTGGCCTTCATTCAGGTCATCAGGACAATTTATTACATCTATTCATATGTGCACACGAACATACATGTGCCACAGTCCACGTGTGTGGGGGATCAGAGAACAGCTGTGGGGGTTGGTTGTCTCCTTTAGCTTGTGGGTCCCAGCTCAGGTTGTCACCCACTGAAACATCTCATTGGCTCCGATTTGCTTTTGTTGCTAATTTTGATTTATTTGGGACAAGGTTTTATGTATCTGAGAATGAGAATGATCTTGAATTCCTGACTTTCCAGCCTCTACTTCCTGGGGGTTGAGATTACAGTCATGATTCCCCCCCCTCCCCCTACATACACACTGTTTTTGTAAGGTGCTGGGGATCAAATGTTCTAAGCAAGCACGACCAAGTGGGCTGCAGCCCCACCCCCTCTGTAATTTTGGTGACACATGAGTTCCTAGCTCTTTGCCTATCTTCTTTGAGAGCCATCTTGTGTCCAGAGGATTCTAGAGGCCTAGAGAAGCACAAGGAAAAGCAGGCACTCACCATGGCTCACCCTGAGTCCCCAGGCTCTGAGACAGGCCTGGAGAGGCTTCCACTGAGGGACAACTTCCTGTCATCCCACTGCACTGCCTGGTACAGGACATGGATGCCTTGGGCTCTCTGAAACACAGTCCTCTGGGCCAGCTCTGTGTGAAGGGTGCTGACCCAGAAGAGAATGGGGTGGCTAGTGCATCGCCTCTTAGAGCCGAGCCACACACCAGCCTGGGGTGGGGAAGGGCAGATGCATCCAGAAAAGGAAAAAAGTTGTGTGTGGTCAGAACCACAATGCTAAGTACATCCTAAGTGTGAGTGGACAGTGTAGAGGGAAAGGGTGGGCTGAGACATTTCTTCCAGAGCCTGGAAGGAAGGCAGTTGTAGCAGAGACTCCAGCCTGTTTGGGCTGACAGGCCTGGCACCTGCAGACCAACCACACTTCCTCCTGCCATCCCCGGATGCTTCTAGCCAGTTCTCGATTCATCCCCACCCCAGACCCTTAGCATAGAATGCTCTTTCCCCCAAAATGCTTGTTGTATAGGATTAGCTCAAGTGTCACCTGCTTAGGTGACACTTCCTGACCCCTAATCATATATATGGTTTATTTATATGACTTTTGTCACCTGCCTCAACTAGATGATCTATTCAGTGACAGTCAGAGCCTATCAGTTCTGTCCTGTGCTATATCCCAGCTTCTTTCTGGAGCAATGTCTAGGATGAATGGAGGCCAGACACACAGCTGAGAGTCCCCTCCACCTAGTTTGCTCCCTTCAGAACCTGGCTTATACTGGTCCCCACAGAAGCGAGGTCTCAAACACGATTCCTCTTTCCTTAGGAACCTCCACACCTGGGGGAAGGTCAGTTGCAGCGGGATGGCATTGTCTAGGCTGTCCTTAGCAGCCCGCGGGCTGGCACTTACATGGGAACGGCACTCCTCCATCTCTAGCACAGCAGTGCTCTGGGGCTCATCCTTGGAGTACTGGAGCTGGAGAAAGGAAAAGTGTAGGGGATCAGATCTCATCCAGATGATGCTTAGCTCCAGGCTTTGCTCCCAGAGCCCCAGAAAGGGGCTACAGCTTCCTGAGATGAACAAACTCTGATGGAATAAGGATCTTGAGTGTAGGCAGGCCCTGAGGTGTGATGCTGGCAGCTCTCCTCATGCTCTTGGGCTGTAACAGTGATACAGATACTGGCTCAGGACCCGCCAGCGAGGCTCTAGTGGTGATACCGCTTGTGACCACAGAGGGCAGTGTTACACAAGGACAATGCTGAGGGTGGTAGACCAGGCTCTATGGTGGTGCTCCTAGGTGTGGGTTGAGTCAGTGGCAGTTAGATCCTTCGCTTCCTGAGCCGAGGCCTTTTAAACTTATAGCTAAGGATAAGGATTCTTGCTTTTTAAAATGGACCTAGTATCTTTAGAAAAGGCAAGGCTTGATTTTTATATCTATAAAATGAGCTAACAAACTGGCTATAGCTTTGTGGAAGGGTCTGGATACCTGTTGCTGCTAAACTGACAATATTATAGCTGGCCTAGCCATCATTACTATCAGAGATCCCAGAAATATAAATAAAGCACAGACCAAGTGGTTTCCAAATCTATTAAAAATTACAGGGACCAGATTCCATATACAGTTAGTTATACCCAGGTCTTCATGGCATTGGAGGCAGAAGTATCCAGAACAGCAGTCTTACAGTCTTAGCCAGGCCCATAAGGTGATTTTTCCCCCTGTGGAAGAGAGACATGAAAAAGACTGGCCTTATTTTGTCTAGGGAAAGTGGTGCAATCAATTTTCCAATGCCCTGCTGTTTGCCCACAGTCTAGACTGGGTCCTGGCGGGTGTTGCACTGGGGCACCTTGCCCAGTGGTCAGCATTGTCATAATCCAGGTGGAGACATCATGGTGTCCCATAATCTTCTCTGGAGACCTTGGGTTACTGCTAGGCTCTCAGAGTCTCTGTTTAATACAATAAGCTTTTTAACCATTATTTTAAATGCCATATTCTGCAGATCTCTGAAGTATGAGGGCTGCCAGGTATGTCTGATTAGTAAACTTTCTTTTGATGGAGGAGGGTTATCTGTCTATTGTGTTATTTTCATTGGTCAATAAAGAGACTGCCTTGGCCCTTTGATAGGACAGAAAATTAGGTAGGCGGAGTAAACAGAATAGAATGCTGGGAAGAAGGGAAATGAGGCAGAAGCCATGGAGCCAGTCACCAGGTCAGATATGCTGAATCTCTTCCGGTAAGCCACCACCTCGTGGTGCTACAGATTATTAGAAATGGGTTAATATCAAGATATGAGAGTTAGTCAGTACTAACTCTCTAGAGATAATGGGCCAGGCAGTGCTTAAATGAATACAATTTGTGTGTTGTTATTTCCGGGGCTTAGCTAGCCGTGCAGGAGCTGGGTGAGGCGAAAAGCAGGCCTGCCCGCAGCCCCCCACTACAGATGGCGCCAACGTGGAAAAAGTTTGGAGAGAAATAACTACGTCCATATTCCCAAATATTGCTTATAAATGTTCTTATACATTTAAAGGGGGATATGATATAGATATGAATAATTTGCATTGGTATGGATTTTAAGGTCAATTTTGTTATATGTGTATATATTTCTGATTTTGATTGTGTAGTTCATATAAAAATGCAATGTATAATTAAAAATATAGGTTGTTAATGGATAATACTAGCTTGTAGATTTCAGATAGACATTCATATCTTTCAAAGACTACAGAACATGGCATTTAATGTTTTAATAACTTAGGACAATGAGACAAGTCTGCCCCTGGCAGCACCAATCTACTTCAAGAGGAAGTTGGGCATCGAAGAGGCTCCTTATGGAGTTGGTTAGCCATTTGTGCAAGAAACTGCTCTTGCCTGGACTGTTGTATAAACTGGACACAGAGAACCCACAGAGAGAGGACTGCTAAACTTGCCTAAAGGTGAGATGATCTTTCGGGGTTCCTGATTCAGGAAAGAGTCTATGAGACATTCTGCAGGACACAGCAGATAGTGACTGAACTGCCTTTGAAATTTCCTGCTTCATGGAAATGTCTCTGGATATTATGGGCCTGAAGGCCAAAGATGGGTGCCCCAACGATACAGAGGAACTTTGGGTGACTGTCAAGGCAGCAAGATGTCTCTGTCATTTCTAGAGTTTTGGAAGTTGCTTAATTCTTGTTAACTTAGGTAATATTATATCCTTTTGGAGTCTTTGATGGAGTTGAAGAATGGATAGTCATAGTTATAGTTTTCCATTATTATGATAAAGACATAGTTATAAATATTGTGACTGTAATTCTTGCTTGATAACTGTTTTGTTATATGTAATTTTACTATGTTAAAATAAAAGCCTTTCTTTTTTGTTTAAACAGAAAAAGGGGAAATGATGGAGGAGGGTTATCTGTCTATTGTGTTATTTTCATTGGTCAATAAAGAGACTGCCTTGGCCCTTTGATAGGACAGAAAATTAGGTAGGCGGAGTAAACAGAATAGAATGCTGGGAAGAAGGGAAATGAGGCAGAAGCCATGGAGCCAGTCACCAGGTCAGATATGCTGAATCTTTTCCGGTAAGCCACCACCTCGTGGTGCTACAGATTATTAGAAATGGGTTAATATCAAGATATGAGAGTTAGTCAGTACTAACTCTCTAGAGATAATGGGCCAGGCAGTGCTTAAATGAATACAATTTGTGTGTTGTTATTTCTGGGACTAAGCTAGCCGTGTGGGAGCTGGGTGAGGCGAAAAGCAGGCCTGCCCGCAGCTCCTTTCTACATTCTTTCTTTTTTTTTTAAGATTTATTTATTTATAATGTACAGTGTTCTGTCTGCATGTATACCTGCAGGGCAGAAGAGGGTACCAGACTGCATTATGGATGGTTGTGAGCCACCATGTGGTTGCTGGGAATTGAACTCAGGTCCTCTGGAAGAGCTCTTAACCAGTGCTCTTAACTGCTGAGTCATCTCTCCAGCCCCAAAACTTTGTTTCTTATTACTTGTTTTAAGTTTGACTTTGAAAACATATACAGGGAACTAAATAAGGCTTATTTCTGTAATTAATTATGTCAGTACTTTTAAGATGGCTGACTAACTTCTATTTCCAAGCAGCCTATAATAAGTTAGCAGCTTTCATAAGACTAAAACTTTACATTCTGTCAGGTTTAGCCTTAAAAAAATAATGATTTTGAATCGAAGCTAATAAAGAGTCATTCTTAGGGTAAACACAGAACAAGTTTGTATCCGCGTTAATACTGTCTCCTGGGAAGGCAAGGAACAAGTCTCAGGGTGAAATGGGAACAGGAGGGGCTGGGGCTAGCATTGCACTTGAGGAGTTCTAAGGCCCTACAGCCAGGTGTTAGGGAAGAGCCACAAGTTCCCTTTTGCCAGAGATAAGGATGAAGACACCAGAGTAAGGACTTTCTCCAAGCAACCTGAGTGACTGGGAGCTGACCTGAATGCCTGACCTTGGGGAAAGGACTTTGTAGTTTTATCTCTGTTAAGTGTGAGCCTTAGAAAACAACAATTTTTCTTTTTTTTAAGCTGTAGGCAGTTTTTTTTGTTAAAAAAACTTTATTTTATTATTAATTTATGTTCATTGGTATGAGGGTCAGATGCCCTGGAACTGGATTTACAGACATTTGTGAGCTGCCTTGTGGGTACTTGGAATTGAATTCAAGACCTTTGGAAGAGCAGTCAGTGCTCTTAAATGCTGAGCCATCTCTCCAGCCCCTTTTTTCTTATTTTATTGAGCTATATATTTTTCTCTGCTCCCCTCCCTCCCACTCCCCTCCCCTTCTACCCTCTCCCATGATCCCCAGGCTCCCAATTTACTCAGGAGATCTTGTCTTTTTCTTTGTCCTATGTAGTTTAGATTCATATACGTCTCTCTTAGGGTCCTCATTGTTGTCTACGTTCTCTGGGATTGTGAATTGTAGGCTGGTTTTTCTTTGCTTTATGTCTAAAAGCCACTTATGAGTGAGTATATATGATATTTGTCTTTTGGGGTCTGGATTACCTCACTCAATATGATGTTTTCTAGATCCATCCATTTGTCCACAAATTTCAAGATGTCATTGTTTTTTTCTGCTGTGTAGTACTTCTGAAGTAAATGTACCACATTTTCCTTATCCATTCTTCGGTCAAGGGGCATTTGGGTTGTTTCCAGGTTTTGGTTATTACGAATAATGCTGCTATGAACATAATTAAACACATGTTCTTGTGGTACAATTGAGCATACCAAAAGTGGTATTACTGGATCTTGAGGAAAGTTGTTTGCTAATTTTCTGAGAAATCCATACTGATATCCAAAGTGGTTATACCAGCTTGCACTCCCACCAGCAATGCAGAAGTGTTCCCTTTACCCCACAACCTCTCCAGCATAAGTTGTCGTCAGTGTTTATGATCTTGGCCATTCTTACAGGTGTAAGATGGAATCTTGGTACTGGCATAAGAACAGACAGGAGGACCAATGGAACCGAACAGAAGACCCGGATATCAATCCACACATCTTCGAACACCTGATCTTTGATAAAGAAGCAAAAAATATCAAATGGAAAAAAGAAAGCATATTTAACAAATGGTGCCAGCATAACTGGATATCAACATGTAGAAGAATGAAAATAGACCCATATCTATCACCATGCACAAAACTCAAGACCAAATGGATCAAAGACCTCAACATAAAGCCAGTCACACTGAACCTTATAAAAGAGAAAGTGGGAAGTACATTTGAATGCATTGGCACAGGGAACCACTTCCTAAATATAACCCCAGCAGCACAGACACTGAGAGAAACAATAAATGGGACCTCCTGAAACTGAAAAGCTTCTGTAAAGCAAAGGACACAGTCAACAAGACAAAACGACAGCCTACAGAATGGGAAAAGGTCTTCACTAACCCCACATCAGACAGAAGTCTGATCTCCAAAATATACAAAGAACTCAAGGAATTGGACACCAAAAGATCACATAATCCAATAAAAAAATGGAGTA